GTTCAACTTCAAGTCAGTTGAAAACGTGAGGCCAAGAATGCACAGTGTGTTGCCCTCCATTAATCTAGCATCTGCCATTTTGATAGTGGGCAGAAAACATTATGGTGATTAAATGAGAGCTGTTTCGTTTTGGAGGCATTAAAATTTACGAGCCATTTCCTACCCAAGTTAACCACGGATTGGAGGTTCTTTTCAAAAGCAGCAGCCAGATTTACTTTGTCAACTCTGATGGATTTGTCATTGAGGCAGGAGTAAATGGTAGTGTCATCAGCATAAATGCCTTCTTGGGAATTGATGACATCAGGGAGATTATTGATGAAGATCAGAAACAGCGTAGGAGCTAGAATAGAGTATGGAGGACACGAGCGTTCGTATAAAAGGATCTGGAAGTGAGCCTGTTCAAAATGACCTTCATTTCACAATTTGATAGGAATGATTGGATTAAATGAAACACACGTTCAGTAATACCGTAGCCCTGGAGCTTACATAGAAGACAAGCATGCCAAACCCTATCAAACGCCTTCGAGATATCTAGCATGATATATATTCAGTGATGGCCGTTAGCACATCAGCAGTAGACCTGGCAAAATGGCAGCCATATTGTTTGTCAGAGAGTAGATCGTGAGAAGTAAGATGCTTAACCACTTCAGCATTGATTAAAGCCTCGAGTGATTTGCCGAAAGGCAGTAGGAGACTAACAGAGCGATAGTTAGGGGGTTCAGAAGATTCTCCAGAGTTCTTAAAAACAGGAAGTACAGTGGAGGACTTTCAACAAGAAGAAAAGCAGGAAGCAGCATGGCAGTCGTTGTAGAGTTTGGAGAGAACTAGAGCCAGCTCTGGAGCACATTTATTTAGGACGGCGCTGGGATCCCATCACTTCCACTTGCTTTATGAGAATGATATCGGAGACCAGTGACGGGGTTATGCACATATCACTCAGTATAGCCTCGGTCCTAGGGGGATATCAGGGTTGGATACTCCAAATGACTCGAGTGTTGAGTTGGGTGAGAATTTCTAAGCAAATTATTCAACTTTATCTGCTGTAGGTCAGGACTACAAATTGATTGAATAGAGAACGGATTGAGGATTTGTTGTCGTCCAGCAAACTCTTACAGAGCCGCCAATAATTCTCTAGAACTGAACTTGCGAGATACATTATTTCATTTTATCAGCAAATACTAACTTCGCTTCTTTGCGAACAACGCCTGCATGTTTTACTCTGCTAATTTTACTTTTACTATTTTTAATGGAACATTTTACTTTACTAATTGGATTATATTTTAGTCCATGTCACTTTAACTGAAAAACACATACAACAACAAAATTTCGTTGATTTATCACATTACTAAATTCAAATAAAATTCCCGCTTGAATCATTTAACAAACACCCTAGTGTTGCAGCATCGCACGTTCCAAAATAATATAACCGTCAATAAATAGCATATTTTTAAAAACATCTTTCGGTCTGCACTACATTTATTTCGTCTTGGTAAATGCAAATATTACGCCCCGAAGATGACAATTTGAATTTGTCGAAAGTACTCGACTCAGTCTCATCAATTCCATCTGACAACAACTCAAAGGATTGTGTTATTCAAGGAATTAATAGTAAGTTAATGTCAGATTAAGCCTTGTTAGCGAAGTGATTTCGCTATTAATCACATTGACAATTCTTTGTGTAATTACTTCTTTATATATATATATATATATATATATATATATATATATATATATATATATATATATATATATAAATATTAATATTGTTTATTTATATAAAAAACGTAAATAAACGAAATACAACTTCCCTAATAAAAAAACTAAAATGTCTATAAATAAAAATAAATAAATTATACATTCACATGTCTGATGTGGAAACAGAACCAAACTAACTTTGATTAAAAAAAAAAGGTGAAAACGGCAAAATGATCAGGCCGTACAACTGTGCAGTTGGACGTACGTGAGCACGCTGACAAGCGCACACACAAACACAGAAAATACAGAAGAAAATTTATATACCAGTACCAAAAGTGTATAAAAAGAAAAATATACGCAGTAAGTTGCTGATACGCCCTGAAGAGTGGACGAACATGCTTGTCAACGAACTCTGGAGCCGGGATGCTGAAGGTAACATCAATCAGCTTAATGACAATTTTACTCAGATTAATCCCTTTATATATATATATATATATATATATATATATATATATATATATATATGATCAAATAATTATACGCAACGTACAATTTTTAGTTTATTAAATGCATGTAAATTTATTGCAAAAGTATTAAATTATTACCACATATGAATTAATTTTATATACAACAAATTATTTGCGGAATAAAAATAATAAGAGACAAAAATAATATGCTTAACACCTAAGAAATTTCTAATACATCCTGTGCAACATTTTAGTCAAGATGGTCACCAAACTTTTCTTGAAGGATCGAGCTCAGGTCATCAGCCAACTATTTTCTCATGAATTGCTAGGTTGTTAATTCAAGAGTTCAGTTTGACATTCTAAGATCGAAATTCTCCTAAAAAAGGCCACGGTGTACAACAGCCGAAACGTTTGAGAATAAAAAAAACAAAGATGAGAACAATATTCTGCTTGTAAATATTATAAATAATGATAACTTCTCGTTCCAGAAATTCAGATAGAGTTGATTTTGTTCTTAAGTCAGTGGAATTAAATAGATCCTTCAGTCTGATTTCTAATTGTTGTATCAAACAGATAAAATAGAGCAATATGATCCCAAATAATTTAAATGTTCTTTGCCTCTGGCAACAACATGCAGTCACACATCGAGACGTAGGCGCACAGTATTCTACACTCGGCACCAGATATGCACATTTGCAGATGGTAACTTTCTTTACAGATGGTAACTTTCTTTTATATATATATATATATATATATATATATAATCTGTGTGTGGTTGTCTTCAACGACACTGGAACTTTGTTAGTGAAGCTTAAAGTTTTCAAAAAAGTGTTTACATTTTTATTTTATTTTTTCATTTTAGTCTTCCAAATAATAATTTCTTTTTAAATAAACTAGAATTTTCGATCGCGAAATTGCGTGTGAATACGTTAAAAACTACAATCTTTAAAAAAAAAAATGGCGATAATTAATTACTGGACAAGATTTTCTCCACCAAAAAAATGGAAATAAAAAGTGACTAAAAAAGTGATCTCTTCAAATTCCAACATGTCGACAGGATTTCCTACCAACGCGAGAAGATAGAACTGCAGGGTCATAAATAGACGCGCAGGATTAATGAGTTGTTCAGCGAAGGACTTTATTGAACAATGAAAGGCGCGAAAGGAAATTAGTCTCAATTAAGTTACGATCTCTGTTTAATAAAGGCGCTATAAAACAGAGGTGCTGGACGATGGAAATTTTTGAGACATGGAATTCTCTGGAATCTATGCAGAAGAAGGACATCATTCATATTCTAAATTTGAAATTTATATTTTTTTTATTTCTTCTCGTTCTCAAATACATTTTCGTTCAGCTTAGCTTTCTTCTGAATCCTCCTGTTTTTCCTATCGCTATATATATATATATAGCGATATCAATGGCGACTTTAGGTCGCCAGTGGGATATGCCCCCACCAGAAACTCACCATGCACTTTTTTGTGAAAATAATGTGAACAGATTTTATTGTTGCTAATTTTATGCTCACAGACCTCCTCCCTGTCTCAAAGGCTGCAACCCCCATGGCGAGACGTCTGTTTTGGCTCATTACAATTTTTAATGAAATTTATTGTATGTATTATTTGGAGTCTAAGAAGAATTCTAGCATCATTTTTTAAAAATCTTAACAAACCAAACAAGACAACAAAGCCACTAACACGCAGTTACTGAGTGTGAAAGAATATATAAAAAAACATTAAGGAAAGTGTACAATAAAAGAACAAAAATTAAAAAGACAGAAGATAACGATTGACGTTGCATTTAAATTTTGGAAGATCAAACTTGACTGGAAATCAAAAAGCTAGACGAGAGTTCCACAAGCGAAAAAAGAAACTAGAAGCTAAAATATAGGTACCTCCAATTTTCATCGTGTAAATTTGACACATGATCCCCAAAAAGCTATGAAACATATAAATTATATAGGAATAAGGTGTCGCTGCCGACACTTGAGTTTGAACATAGATCGCCAGTGAGCAAACACAGACGATCCCATTATTGAATTAAGTAGATCACGTGACTATAGAGGAAACACACATATGGAAGATAGCGTGACGTCTAAACGATCGCTGTTTTCTAGTCTATCCTCTATACTATACGGATCTTCATTTCTAGTCTATCCTCTATTACTATTCGGATCACTATTGCTATTCTCTATACTATTCACTATACTATTTCTCCTAACGGATTACTATTCGGTGGTTACTATTCGAGCGAGTATTATTGAGCAAGTAGTATTAGTACGAGATCATTCGAAGGCGTCTGACACCAGTATTGTTCAACGGCATTACTATAGTTGTATCTGCGATTACAAAGTCTCTACTACAACGAGTATAGAGAAAGTGACAACGAGTATTCGTTGACCTTACAAAGCAATGAGTGTTCGTTGACATCACAGAAATATATAAACTTTAATTTTATGGTCAATTTTTCTACTATTTGTCAGGTTAGTTTTGTCAATTAATTTTCTTCAAAATCAAAATAAAATATACCTAATTAATTATTCTACATAAACGCACGGTAATGTAATTCCAAGTCAAGATTCCTAGATTTTTTGGGGTTTTGTTTTTTTTTTTAAATTATGATTTTCTAAGCGCTGCTTAGATGTAGCACAAGACCGAAAGTAAGTAGCACCCAGTGAGGATCAAAAGATTTTCTAGGCGTAGCTTAGATATGGCACAAGATCTAAAGTATTGAGCACATATTGAGGTTCGAACTTACTACTCAATCATAATTGATCGAGCGAGACAAGATTGCTAATAATTACGCAACGTGGAAGTGTTTGTGTACAAGTTTATGCGTTAGAGTGTCAGTTTCTCTCTCTCTCTCTCTCTCTCTCTCTCTCTCTCTCTCTCTCTCTCTCTCTCTCTCTCCACGCACACATCTTCCCCATTTATAGTTTTGTATAATTGGGGACTTAAAACAGATATTTATTGTCTGACAGAATTACAATTCACGCATACACATGCGCGCGCACGCGTACGCACACCCGCGCCATTAGAACATTTTTTCACTTTGGCAATTTTTCTCTGATCGACTTTCTTTTTTTATCACATTTAACATTATAATTAACAGAAAATTAATTTATAGTCAAGATCTAAGGATATGAATTTGAAACTAAACGGTATTCTTTTTTCAAAAAAAGATTTAATTTGGGATTTTTAAAGAGTATTTTCCATATTGCAAAAATAAAATAAAATGAGGTTGTATATTCTGATTACCTTTCTTCTTGCGTTGTGAATAAAATATATGGGAATTGTAGGTTTTTGAATGTGTTTTCTGTGTATGTTTCTTCTTAATGTAAATATTGGGGGCTGCAGATTCTTAATGCTCATATAGAAACCTATAATAATTTCAGGTTTAATTTTAGAAGAGTAGTTTGAGTAGAAACTGACCAGGTCATTTTTGTTGATACCTTTTCTATAAAAGTCAGAATTGAGTTCGTTATTGTTTCTGTGTAACATGATATCTCGAAAGAGAAGGCATACAAAATATACAACCGCAACCAAAATAACATCATCATCCGTAATAATAAATTATATGAGAACAGATACATAATACTACCGACCAACTCCGTCACGTCCACTATCCAGAACAACCTATTACATCTGAATAATATCAAAATAATCTTCCAAAACCATTATGGATATTATCAGACCCTCAAACGCCAATAGCAATAATATTGCTAAAGTAGGCATATATAAAATAAATTGCCAAAACTGTTCCTCGTACGACATTTGAAAAACATGCAAAAATGTAAACAAATCGCATCTATGAGCACAAATGAGACCTCATAAATAAAAATTTAATAAATGCACTAGTCATACATAGAAATAAATTCAACCACAATTTTGATTTTATAAATGCTATATTCATAAAAAAAAATAATTCACTCAGAAGGAAAATACCCGAGAATGCCGCCATTGAATATTATCCAAATATTAATCTACGCCAAGGTTTTTTTTTTCCAATATCACCTTTCCTAACAGAATCACTACTCTCCCAAGCCAATTTACACAACAAATATATCAAGAAATCAAAAGAAAACGGTTGATTCAGTCAATACAACGCAAACAATATTTCTACATGTGAAAATATTCTCTTCAAACATAAAGTAATTGACGTAATTTTTCAGTTGGCCATAGAGCGTTTCTAAATTCTTCTAGTTGTCAATGATATTTTGTTTGTTGCTTATAGATACTGTTTCAAGAAATTCATTTTGTTTTTTGCCTTAAAAAAATCCACATTGGGCAAAACGCGTCGCAAAAACTACAGTTTTACGATTGTCTTTTTTCCTCATAAATATTGTCTTTTTCTACAGGTTAATTCTGAGAAATATATATCTGTGTGTGTGTGTGTGTGCGCGCGCGCGCGGCCTGACGATTGTGTATTGACTTCAATGTTCACTATTATATATATATAAAAGTGGACATTGAAGTCAATACTCAGAGGCGGCAGACTGTTTCATGCTAGACGCAGGCGGCCTGACAATTGCGTCTAGCATATATATATATATATACATATATATATATATATATATATAGTTATTATTTTCCTATATATGCGTGTGTATGTGTAGGAGGATAGATATATGTGTGTGGTGCGTGAGTGTTCGATTTGTTTCTCTGTCATCCTGTATTCCAGAGCTCTGCTTCATTTTAACACTCTTTATATCGTCATCGCAAAGTGTGAAGAGGATATTTTAATACACACGCACATAGATAGATAGATAGATAGATAGATAGATAGATAGATAGATAGATAGATAGATATGAACTTACTTAGATCTCTCTCTCTCTCTTTCTCTCTTTCTCTCTTTCTCTCTCGTATGTGTGTGTGTATGTTCGTTTATATTCTTACGCACAAAATAGAAATTTCATTCATATATAATAGAACTCAGAGTTGCACAGTTGCCATGGTACTTCTGATTATCAATGGCATGCAACAATTTACAAAAGTTTTCTTTAAAATTCTTTTTTTCATTTTCCATTATCAAAGCAGTTATAAACACGTAAACGCCTTTCAAGTTGAGCAAACTTGCTTTTTATTTACAGAGAGATTAATAAATCCCTGAAGAATTTTAAATATTTACAACTTGAGTCTTACACAATTTTTAAAAAAAAAAGAAAAACCTGATGAGTTATGAGTTCGCGTATGCTTTTTTACTAAGATATTCACACGTCGTATTTTTGTTTCATTCCACTGATGAACAGGAAGAGATGGATGCAACAATGTTGATTTTCAAGGTACAGGACATTAGCAACTATTAGTCAAAATTTTAAATTGTTTCATCAGATTTTTCTACATCAGATAGATAGATAGATAGATAGATAGATAAGAGACACAGACATATAATAAAGAAATTGATATAGACATTTTTCAGTAATTAATAATTTTTTTAATCCTATATTATTTCCTACTACTTTAAGCCCCATATTTAGTAGGTACATATGTAGACAACACTTTTTCCCCCTTTTTTAGAAGGGAAATTAATGTCTACCGACCAAGAGACTGAATGACTTAATAAAGAAATTGTGCTTCTCGACGAGAGTCGAAAAATACATTTTCTTTACTTTAGTAAAGTTTGCTTTAAAACTACCGGAAGTTATTACAGCAAATTTCAACAATCCTGTTGGGACATTTCGAAGGTTATATCAGTTAACTTCGTTCTCTTAACCGAAACGTAACCAAAGTAATTTTAAGCAAATAATGGATTTTTATATCCAATATTATTTCTTATTACAGTGTTCGTTGCTGCAATGGCTAACTGCTTTAGCACACGTTTGGTTTAAAAGGCAATACAAGTTCGATCCTGCCAGAGGCCCATTCTCTTTATTACGGATTTCGAGACCGGATAAAATTAATTTCACTCTTTAAAAACGAGGATGTTTATCCGCTAAATATGGCGTTTGTAGTAGTAAGAAATAGATAGAGCTAAATAGACTGAGCTAGATAGATAGATAGATAGATGGTGCGATGGATAAATTGTCGTCTAAATTACGCGAAAATGGAAATAACGCTGACATCTCATTTTAACAGATACATTTACCCAAAATATCTTTAAATACTAAAGAGTAAATTTATTCAATAAAATCGCCATTGGCTTCAACCACGCCCACCATAAGACTTCGAAATCTCCTGCAACTATTCTGGACGGTCTCTTTGTTTAAGTTGGTGAATGCTGCCATAATCTTTGCCTATCAGAGTGAGCTTTCCGAGCAGACGTACCTTCGTAATCATCATTAGACTTATCCAACTCTTTTCGAATACTCTGCACTGTCGACATTATTCCCAAATAAACTGAGTTTATCCACTCATAAAGTGGCTACTGAAAATCGAAAAACAAGGTTCATGATTTTGATTTCCTTTAAATCGTCTTCGTCTTGAATACTAGCACACATTTATAAGTGCACCCAATGTCGATTCAATAATCAACAACACTAGTTTCCTAACTCTGAAGGCATACGACCGTATCACGTTGAAACAGCTATTCTCGTACGATCAACAAAGTTAAACAACGTCGAGCCCGGTCCTTACCTAGGTGAGTGACCGCTTAGGAATATCAGGTACTGTAAGCTTGGATGTGCGGCTGATATCATGGGCTTACGGGCATATCATGTTCAAACGCAGTCATCAAAGCAATATTAAACCTTGTCAATATCTAGATGGGTGACCGCTTGCAAATGCCGGGTGCTGGAATGTACGAGTCGTGTAATAGATAACGGCTCGTAATTGATTTTATTTTATTCTTCTCTCTCCTTAATAGTGTTTTTTTTTTTTCTCATATTCTCCCTCACTCTGTAATCCCTTTCGTTTTAATGGCTTTATTGCCTTGCTTGGGGTGAAATGGTTAAAGAAAAGAAATAATTGGAAAATGAAGTTCCAATTCCAGTCAGGTTCATTATATTCACTTATGCACAAATACCCTTGGGAAATGTATGAATCCACCTCTTCTCCCGCCAGCTATGGGTTAATTGGTAGGACTTGTATCAACAAAGCATTATTATATCCCCCCACAAAAAATCTTAGAATTTTAAAATATTTCCGGCTTTAAATAACCTGAAAAAGATTGATAAGCCGTAAAAGGAAAGAAATCAATCAAACCCTAAACTACAACGCGATTGCTTTGGTAAAAAGATAAAGTTTTCTTCTTTTTTTTTATTTCCTACTCACATGCACTTCAGTATAGTAATTTTCCAAGCGTAGTTTAGATGGGCACCCAATGAGGATCGAACTCACTACAAGCTTTACACCACGCTAAGGTGCCCACATGCACTTCAGTATATTTCATTTTCACTTATCGATATCCACAACACTCATCTAAAGCAATTTCCATTCTATTTTATTTCTTCATTTAACTGTTTTCATTTTCTTCCCATTCCCTACACCGACATTCACTTCTTTTCTATTCAGTCTTTATCAAATGCGTTTATTTCCTTTCATCTTTGCTTATCGTCTGCATCCTTTGTTTTCTCAAACATTAAGAAACAACGTTTTCTACTTAGCTCTCTTGTCTCTCTTCGTTTCTCCTCTCCACAATTCTTTCTATATTCTCCTTTTTTTTCTTCTCTTCTTTGCTCCGTTTCCTCCTCCTCCTTATCCTCGTCTAGCGTTTTCATTCAATCTTTAACTATCTTTCTTCCCTTTTATCTACATTAATTCTTGTCCAGGTCCATTCTCTCTCTCTCTCTCTCTCTCTCTCTCTCTCTCTCTCTCTCTCTCTCTCTCTCTCTCTCTCTCACCATCTTTATTTGTTCTTTAATCATCAATAGCATTTTCTTGAGAAAGGCCTAATGTCAGATCTTTAATTTATATGCTGTTTATTCTCCCACTTTTTTTTTTTTTTTACTTGTGACAAGAATCGAAGGTCAAACAAAACACATGAACAAGGAAAATGAGAAGAAAAAAT